GTTCTGACTCTAAATGTCAATTGGGAAAAATGAAATAAACTGTTACAATAAAAATTTTGGTTATGTTAGAATTAGCTCCATTTTAAGCAGACATATGAAACACTGCTTTTAAATTATAAAGAATTCACACCAGCATATGAAAATTTCCTAATAAAATAGAGAAATTTACTTATGTGACAGGTGTCTGCTCTAGTCAATCAAAGCCTAACCTCCCCATAATTATGCATAGAGTGAGAAGAACTGAGGAAATATTTAATGCGCAGAGGCTGACGGTGATGCTGACAGCCATTGGAAGAAACCCACATTTACTTCTCTCACAAAATGCAAATTCGAGCCCGAGCTCAGGCACGCTCTGACTCACCTCGGCAGCAACAATTTTCTCGGCATTAATGGAAGAGCATCGGGAAATTGTTCCAGAGAGCCTCAAATTAGAAATACTTCAGGAGGAAAATGGCCTACTGAGTGGGACATTAAAATATTCATGAAAGGAATATCTTCAAAGACATTAATAATTAGAAAATCTGCACGATACAGTACTCCAAGGGGAGAGTGTTCTGTGGTCTGGGGGGAGTGAAATTTTCAAGCTAAACCCTAACCTCAGGAAATTCAAACCAGACAGTAGCTACAAAGCCAACATTATTCTTTGTGCTAATTGGTAATTATTGTTTCTCCTTCCTCTCTGGAGTTCTCCCAGTTCTGGAAAGGTATTGCCTCGTGGTCACTGCGGTGGGACACTGGTGGTCATCCTAGACTGTCCTCGGTCCCACTCCAACCAGCTGTCAAGTACCACGTCGGTTAATCCTGCATGCCAAGCAACCATCCTTTCCTTTCGGCTTACCCCTTCTCCCTTCCTTAGTTCAGGCCCATTTCTCTCCACGGGCCTATGGGATGGTCTCCTGATGGGCTCCATTCCTTTGTCCTCCTCCATCTTCCTCACACGTTTCCCCTTTTAATTGTCAGCGGAAACACCTAAGACTGCTAAGTCCTCTGCTCCACCATGAACAGGACAATGTGGAAGAAGAGACAAAGGGAACTTTAAGGATGGGAGGCACGCAGTGGCATGTCCTCTGCACACAATGCGGCTGCTGCACATATGAACTAACAGCAGCTGCAGTTACCTGCACAAGACAAGGCCCAGTCCCTAGCAGGCCAGCTATTGGGGCTGATGGCTACCAGGAGGAGCAGGCACTTTTCTTTGGGGGCTATGGCCACTGGAAAGTTCCCCCCATGTCCTGTGGATGACCCTGTGCCCAGGAACTAATGGGCAGTGCAAACTTGTCTCAGTGAATAGAAGGAGGAAAAGGAAAAGGAAGGCAGGCAGCTATACACAAGTGTTTAAGGTGTTTCGGTTTATAACATTCTATGTCATCCTGAAAAGGATTTGGGAGAGGAGAGGGAGAGGGGAAGGGGGAGGGGAGGGGAGGGAGGGAGGGGGATGGGGAGGGGAAGGGGAGGGAGGGAGGGAGGGGGACGGGGAGGGGGAGGGGAGGGGAGGGGAGGGGGGGAGGGGAGGGGGGGAGGGAGGGAGGGGGATGGGGAGGGGGAGGGGAGGGGAGGGGAGGGGAGGGGAGAAGGGAGGGGAGAGGGGAGGGGAGAGGAGAGGAGAGGAGAGGAGAGGAGAGGAGAGGAGAGGAGAGGAGAGATCAAGCTGGCCTTAGCTCAACTTCAAAGACAAACTCTGAGTGACGCCTGTGTTCCCAGCAGGCGGCAGGCTGAGAAGGATGACCCTGGGTTTGACACCAGTCAGGCCTTTACAGAATGAACATACCTCCAAACAAAAGATTTTTAAAAAGTAAATAGTTGGGCGGTGGTGGCGCATGCCTTTAATCCCAGCACTCAGGAGGCAGAGGCAGGCGGATCTCTGTGAGTTCGAGGCCAGCCTGGTCTGGAAGAGCTACTTCCAGGACAGGAACCAAAAAGCTACGGAGAAACCCTGTCTCGAAAATCAAAATAAATAAATAAATAAAATAAAAAGTAAATATATTTTCCGATAAAATAATCGGTAATATTAATTCATGATTTTGGTGCTGTTTGTCTCCACCAATGAACTGGCTTTTATATTACACATTGAAGACTGTTGGGGACTGTGAACCCCCTGCCTGCTGGAGTAAACAGCTTGTTTTCCTATGCTTGCAGCTGCTCTGAGCACGAGACCCTGATGGCAGGGGAGTGGTTTCTGGTGGCTTGCAGCTGAACAATCCCAAAAGCTAGGGTGTGGCCACTGGTCAGCGAAGGCACTATATGAGCTGTCTTGGAACACAGTAAAGTTGGCATTCTTGGCTTTCTTGTTTCAAGGGTGACCTGCGTCTGTCTGTCTGTCTGTCTCTCTCTCTCTCTCTCTCTCTCTCTCTCTCTCTCTCTCTCTGTGTGTGTGTGTGTGTGTGTGTGTGTGTGTGTTTCAATCTCCAGCCCCTTGCCTGACTCCCGACTCTGGTGCAGTCAGCATGCTACAGGCGTAGTATCGTAGTACACATAGTGCAGGCTACAGGACCATAGTACAAGTAGTAGTATGGACGTTACAAAAGACTTTTAGCAGATGGTTTAATCTTTGTAAAATCCTTTTCATATAAGATTTCATTTAGCTACTCCCAGTGGTTCAGGTCTCTCATCCCAGCTACTTGGGAAATCGAGTCTGAAGGATCAATTACAAGGCTTGCTTGGGCTACAGAATGAGGTAAAATTCAGTCTGGGTAACTCGGTCCTGAGACACTGCCTCAAAATAAAAGTAAAAAGTGGATTGGGTTTATAAGTACAGTGCACCTGCTTAGCACACACCAGGCCAAATGGAAAAGAAAAAGAAGAAAAAGAGGGGAAGGAACAGATGAATCCATACCAGAAGAGCAGAATCACAGCTAAAAGAGTCACTGTGATCTGTTTAGTATATCTGTTTGCTCCTACTAACTTTCAAATGGGTTAAGTGCTTTTTATGCTTTGACAATTTTATACATGTATATAATGAATGTTGGCCACTCCCCCATCACCCCCCCTTGCTCCTCTCCCTCTGAACACATTCTTTCCAAGAAGTCCCCTCCTATATCTTTTCTTCGTTTATGTGGCCCACTGAGTTCAATTCCAGTTGTTTGCATGAGGTGGCTACACATCTGGAAGCAATCAGAGATTACTGTACGTTTCGAGATTTGAGCCTTTATTTGTTGTGCGTGCATGTGTGTGTGCATGTGTGTCTTGTATGCCTGTGTTTGTGGAGATACATGTGTGTGTGCATGTGTGTCTTGTATGCCTGTGTTTGTGGAGATACATGTGTGTGTGTGCATGTGTGTCTTGCATGCATGTGTTTGTAGAGATGCATTTTCCCACGCTATCCTCACATGGAGGCCAGAGAGATCAATGTTGGTGTCTATAGTACTCCACCTTACTTCTTGGAGACAGGGTCTCTCACTGAATCTGGAGTCAGTCATTTAGCTACACAGGCCTGTCAGCAAGCCTCTGGAATCTACCTGTCTCCACACACACCACCTCCTTCCCTCTAGTGTTGGGTTACAGGCACACGCTGCCACATCTGGTTTTTACAGGGGCACCAGGGATCTGAACTCAGGTCCTCACGCTTGCAGGACAGGCATTTTATTCACTGAGCCATCTCCCCTCAGCCCTAGACAGTCTTTAAATACCACTACTTTGTTAAAATTACCAAATCTATTTGAAATATTACTACCAAGTATGCATAGTTACAAAAATCAGGATGTAACTCAGAATGTTCTGGCTTCAGGCACTGGTGAGTACAAAGGACAATGGGGCATACATTAAAGAGCTAAATGAAGCAGGAAAAGGTGTGTGTTCTGCCCTCAAGAAATGAATAAATGAGGCAATGGGAAATGTCAAAGACAAAGACAGGCAGTGGCGGTGCACACCTTTAATTTCAACACTCGGGAGGCAGAGGCAGATGGATCTCCATGAGCTCGAAGCCAGTCTGGTCTACAGAATTAGTTCTAGGACAGTCAAGGCTACATAAAGAAACCCTGTCTCAAAAAACACAAAAAACAAAAACAAAAACAAAAAAACAGAGAAGAAAAACAAAAGAAAAAGAAAAAACAAAATGAAACAAAACAAAACAACAACCAGAAATGTCAAAACAATAATCTGAGCTCAGGGATGACGTACAAGGTCCAAATGTCATTCATGTTCCTAGAGAACATGATATAAGGTTATATAAGAAGTTATTGAGTTCTTTTAGTATTTCAGGGTGTAAGCATGACCTATAAAAGGGTATGATGTAGAGCCTTAGTGCTTCAAAAAAAATGTCCAAACAAAAACAAAACAAAACAAAAATCCTATCTAAAAACCAGCAGGACTTGATGTTCTCAGACATCAATCTGAAAACTAGAAGAGGTGGAGTTTGAAAAACCCAAGGTTGAAGTAAGTAGTAAAAGTTGGTTCTTCACATTTGGAACAAGCAGCAGCTCTTTTCTAAATCACTAGATAGCAAAAACATGACCCGTGATGACAAAGCAGAACACTTATCCAACCACATGAAGCTAAATCTAAACGCACATGCCATACCAAGCAGTATGCTAGAAACACCCTCTGTGTAGACTAGAGATGTCAAAATTCTTTCCAAGAATCAAACATTCCCTTGCCTTGAGCCAAGTAAAATGCTACATCTAAAATATGAACAATGTAGAGCTTACACGCATTTAAATATTTCCTATTACTGACTGTTGAGAACAGCTGGGAAGACCTCCACCAGGGGCCTCTGCAGTACACAGGGGTCTAGCCTCTCCCTCCCTGAACCACCAGGGGCCTCTGCAGTACACAGGGGCCTAACCTCTCCTCCCCTGCACCACCCCGGGTTGGCCGTGAGAATATGACATTATCTTCCCTTGGCGCTCTAACACAGTGTATCTGGTATCCACAGATCTAAGACCAGAAAGTGCATGCAACCCTCTGCCTCCACCATGATCCCAGAGTGAACTGGGCGTATAAAGGGAGAGAGTCAGGTCCTTGCCCAGGTGTTGACCCTCTTCTATTATTATGATTTATCTTACTGGATCCAGGTTCTTGAACAGCAGGATATCTTTGCAAGCCTCTTGCAATCTGTTTCTCTGATCATCAGTTTTGGGATGTATTATCTGAAAAGACATCAAAATCAAGAAAACAAACACAACAGTTAATACCAGGTAAAATCCAACGTTCACTCTGGGTGGCTAACAAGGGTTAGTCCATGAGCCGTCCCTTGGTCTACAGAGCACAGCCGCCAGCACTGTGCTCAGAAGCCCCTGGGAGGAGAGTTCTCCCCAAGACCAAAAAGCACATTATGAGAAGATGCATGAGGAGCGATAAAGACAACAAAACATCCCAGGCTACACGGACACGTACAAAAGGACAAAGTGTTACACAGCTACGCTGGAAAGTTAGATGCTGCCTTCATTCCGTTGCGACTGAACTTAAACTCTTCAGGCCACAGCTCTTTCCTTTAAAACTTGATAATGTCTGCTGAAGCAATAGAATTCTTACATGTATGCCTCATCAAAATTAAATAAGATTTTAGAAAAATTGCAGGTAACTGCCCCAACAGCATGTTAGGAATTTACAGAAAGGACCAAGCAACCATATACTCAGGAGAATGTGCGTTCAGGGGAAATGAATTTAGGAAATACAGATGCGTTCATTTAGGATAAAGTTAAGAGAAGTTGGTGTTCTATCTTCTCACTGAACATTTACTCAGGGCAATGAAACAGTCATTTGTTTCTAAGAAAAAACAAAACAAGAACAGAAAAAGCAATTAAAATTTAAAACGGTCAGTGGTAAGTGCACACCTTTAATCCCAGCACTTGGGAGGCAGAGGCAGTCGAATCTCTGAGTTCAAGGCCACCTGGTCTACAGAGTGAGTTCCAAGGCAGCCAGGGTTACACAGATAAACTCTGTAGGACCTGCTAAGCCAATGTTTCACCTCTCCCATCAAAGCAATCAGAATCAGACAACAGGGAGTCTGTGCCCGCAGAAACACCAAGATGCACAGGGACATTTACCTTGGCAGAAGAGATAGCTAACAAACCAATGAAGTGTAAGCCTGAAGGAACTGGCATTTACAGTATTGGAGACCTCTCTGATCTACAGGTAACACGAAAGACTATCTGCTAGTGAGCAAATCTCAGCAGTTTTTCAATAAAAGTGTGTGGCGTGGGACTCAGTGTCCCCACAGACTGAGTCCCATGTTTACGCTGCTACTTTGAAGGCCGTGGAGTCTTTAGCAGACGAGGCACGGCTAGTATAAGCAGATGGGAATGTGCAGGCATTTCTTATAGCTGCTTGTGGCTCCAGGCCAGCATGCTCTTTCTGGATGGTGCCCCGTGACGGTCCTGACATTGTCACACACAGACACACCTCCCCCACAGGACGCACTAAAACTCCCCGGAAACTGGATCCAGAACAAACCTTATTCCCTTACATGATTTCTGCCAGGCATTTTTATCTCGTGCGATGGGAAGTCACTATGTAAGGTGTGAGGTATGGGAAGCCTGTTTACTATCTGAACCTAGACCCTAAGATGGTAGGTGAACAGACCGCTCATTATCAGTGCTACACAGAAACCTTCAAACCTCAGATGACACGAGCCAGAGTCCACCACTTTCTACTCAACACACAAGGGATTAAGGCTACTTCTATCTCTGAAAGCTACTAAGGGCATGCCTGCGGGGCGGCCACAGGGTGGTGGCGGTGGTAGCAGTGGCATTGTGGGCAGTGCTGGCGGTGGTGGAAATGCCAGACTATGCTCTGGTCTCCACTCTGCGATGCTTCACCCGCTGCCAATTCAAGTCTCTCTCCTTTCTCCCCATACTTTCTCTTCTGATGAGGTCTCAACAGGGGAGTCTTTTTTCCTGCTCTCCTGGCTCTAACCAACCAACGCTTCTAAAATGTTTTCCAGGGCTGCTGTCTATGCAGTTTGCTCATCCTCCACTCCTCCTTGACACAGATCCTGCCAAAGACCCTTGGCCTAGTACAGTCTGTTCTCTGAGAGCAGTCAGGGGGCAGATATTCTCCCAGCTAAGATACTGCCCGCTCCTATGGACTCGTGTTTTCAGTAGGTTTGACATCACTCTGTGCGCCAGGCTTGTCTCTGGACTCTTCAGCTCTAACAATGTACCCAGAGTGTGAGCTTTGGCCAGCCTAGAGGCTCTCATGGTTTTTATTAAAATTTCTCATTTCAGGATAAAAAATCTTGTTAAGCAAACATTTATGTGACATCTTATGTATGCCAGGTGCATTATTTATTTATTTAGTTAGTTAGTTAGTTAGTTAGTTTTTTCAAGACAGGGTTCTCTGTGTAGCCCTGGCTATCCTGCTACTCACTTTGTAGACCAGGCTGGCCTTGAACTCACAGAGACTCACCCGACTCTGCTTCCCAAGTGCTTGGATTAAAGGCGTGTGCCACCACTGCCCATCCCAGGTAGTATTTTAAGGGCTCCATAAGTGTCAATTCATTTTAACCTAGTAACAGACCCCTGAAAACAGGTGGTAATTTAGAGGTGAGAAAACACACACACACACACACACACACACACACACACACACACACTCCATTGACTTCTCCGTCATCTAACAGTTCCTGAGCTGCAGAGCTGGGATTCATCCCTGACAAGCTGGTTAAGAGAACACACTCACACCTCAGAACAAACCCACCCCTGCAAGCACATCTGCAGAGAATGGTCTCAGAGCTAAGAATGGCTTTACCTTTGTGTTCTCTCTCCCTCCCTGTCTCTCTCTCCCTCTCCCACACACGACCCCTGCACGCATACACAGGTGTGCATGCATGCACGCGTGCGCACGCACACAGACACACAGGCGCACATGCACACATGGAAATGAGAGGAAATTCAAGTGTCCTCAGAACACAGACATCTGTGCACTGCCTGTGCTGATTCTGAGCCACAGCAGTAGGGTGGAGTAGTGTTAAGAGCGCTTCCGACTCCCAAACACTAAATATTCATGTTCAGAAATAGTGAGATTTCAGTTAAAAAATAATCCCCATATAAAGTGTTTGCCAATTCATGCTCTGAACTTCTGCTGCCTTTCAAGGAAAAGAATCAGAAAAGCAACTAATAGGCTTTACTTAGATGTAGGAGCTGATGCAGGGGTCATGGAAGGGGGCTGTTTACTGGCTTGCTGTCCAGGGCTTGCTCAGCCTGCTTTCTTATAAAACTCAAGACCACCAGCCCCGACGTGTGATTCAGTGAGCTAAGCCGTTCCACATGAATCATCAATCAAGAAAATATAACACAGGCTTGCCCAAAGATCAATCTAGTGGGGGCATTTTCTCAATTAGAATTACCTCTTCTAAAACTGGCTCTAGCTTATGTTAAAATGACAGCCACCACACTAGCCAGCACACACACCTTCCATAAGAAAATGCCTGCCATTCACTAAGAGAAACAATTAATAAATGGGACCTCCTGACGCCGAAAAGCTTCTGTAAAGCAAAGGATACGGTCAACAAGACAAAATGGCAGCCTACAGAATGGGAAAAGATCTTCACCAACCCCACATTGGACAAAGGGCTGATCTCCAAAATATACAAAGAACTGAAGAAATAGGTCACCAAAAGAACAAATAATTCAATTAAAAAATGGGCTGCAGACCTAAACAGAGAACTCTCAACTGAAGAATCTAAAATGACTGAAAGACACTTAAGGAAATGTTCAACATCCTTAGCCATCAGAGAAATGTGAACCAAAACAATTCTAAGATTCCATCTTACAACTGTAAGAATGGCTAAGATCAAAAACACTGATGACAACTTATGCTGGAGAGGTTGTGGGGTAAAGGGAACACTCCGGCATTGCTGGTGGGAGTGCAAACTGGTACAACCCCTTTGGATGTCAGTGTGGCGATTTCTCAGAAAATTAGGAAACAACCTTCCTCAAGACCCAGCAATACCACTTTGGGTGTGTACCCAAAGGATGCTCAATTATAGCACAGGGACATGCTCAGTTATGTTCATAGAAGAATTATTTGTCATAGCAAGAACCTGGAAACAACCTAAATACCTCTAGATCAAAGAATGGATAAGATAATGTGGTACATGTACACAATGGAGTACTACACAGCAGAAAAAAATAACAACATCTTGAAATCTGTGGGCAAATAGATGGATCTAGAAAACATCGCATTGAGTGAGGTAGCCCAGACCCAGAAGGACAAATATCATATGTACTCCCTCATAAGTGGATTTTAGACATAAATCAAAGAAAAACCAGCCTACAATTCACAATCCCAGAGACCCTAGACAACAAAGAGGACCCTAAGAGAGACATACATGGATCTAATCTACAAGGGAAGTAGAAAAAGACAAGATCTCCTGAGTAAATTGGGAGCATGGGGACCATGGAAGAGGGTAGAGGGGAAGGGGAAGGAAATGGAGAAAATTATATAGCTCAATAAAAACAATTTGAAAAAAAAAAAGAAAATGCCTGCCCTTATTTATACAACTGATCTCCGAGTCTTGATTTCCTCGCCCTGCCCCAAGTGGCCAGTACTGGGTTTATTAGAAGCTCCCGGGAAATCGGATCTTGAACTGAAAGCCAGCAATAGGGAGAGTGTGGCGGGTAAGTCACCCCTCAACATCTGCCCTTTGCTGCTGAAGAACCCAAGAGCAGCGGTTCTCAACCCTCCTAACACTGTGACTCTTCAACAGAGTCCCTCGTGTTGCGGTGACTCCCAACCATAAAATTATTTTCATTACCACTTCATAGCAATAATTTTGATACTGTTATGAATCATAATGCAAATATCTTAAATGCAGGATATCTGATATGTGACCCCCAAAGTGGTCAACACCCACAGTCTGGGAACCACTGCCCCTGCCTCAGTCTACATGTGATCTCTGAACTCTTTCTGAAACCGGTAATACATCAAAACATGTATCCAATGAGTTCTCACTGGTGTTTTTTATGTTTAATTCCATTTGCTTGGCTGTTAAGCAAATATTACCTAGAATAAAAATGAACGAACAAAACATTTTACTTAACTAACTCACAGATTCGATGGTATCTAAAATTCCTCCCAAGGTCTGAATAGAGTCAATGAGATACAACAAGATACTGAATGTTACTTTCAAACTATGTTCCTTAGTTTCAGATTTTTTTTTTTTGTTTTTGATTTTTCAAAACAGGGTTTCTCTGTGTATCCCTGGCTGTTCTGGAGCACACTCAGTAGACCAGGCTGGCTTTGAGCTCACAGAGATCCTCCTGCCTCTGCTTCCCAAATGCTAGGATTAAAGGTGTCCGCTGCCACCACCGCCCGGCTTAGCTTTAGACTTTTAAAACGAGTTTAAGCTACCTCAAATTATCTTGATTACTAAATTTTAGCACATACAGTTAACCACAAACTAGGCTTGTGTGTAATCTCCAACTGTCACCATTACTGTTTCTGCTGGATGTACAGATGACGCGTGTGATAGGCAAGGAAGGTTTCCAGCACACACACAGAGCAATAACAGCATGTTCCAGATTAGCAGCAGAAGAATCTGACTGCATATGTATATTTGTTTATACCAAGGGTATACATATACTTCAGGAGCTCAACAGTCTAAAAACTCTGGACTCGCTGTCTGCTTTTCTGCATTTTTCAGAGCTATAGATAGAGGTTTTAAAAAAAAAACACTTTTTAAGGCTGAAGATGCAAAAGAGATTTTTCCAAAGTATGTACAAAGACAGAAAGGAGGGGAGAGAGGGAGGAAAAGGAGGGAGGGAGAGGAGGGAGGGAGGGGAGGGGAGGGAGGAAAGTTACTACTTCATGTTCAGGCACAGTAATTTCCTATTTAGTTTCCTTCTTACTGGATCGCTAATGGGAGATGTAAGCTAAGGGCACTGCTTGAAAGCTGTATCAAAGCGCACAAGGCAAATGCTAGGGAATCGTCAGGGCCTCCAAGAGCCAGTCTGCGCAAGGCCTGGTGTGTGCTTTGCTGGCATCTTCCGTGTGATTCTAATGAGGCTTGTCTGCCTCCGAGGAACCTTCTGTTAGCAACTGACAGGAGCAGAAGGTCTTTACCAGTATCTCTCTATAGTAGGAACACCTTTTATAAATAACTATGGGTATAAGAAAAATAAATAGCTCAAAACATTTTTCATCATCAGGACGCCTTTAGTGAAAGGACGGGACCATAATAACTTCAGTGAGCACTCACATTCCTGCCTTGTTTTATCCAAGAGAGACTATGTGCAGGGGGGGATAAAAATACTTCTGTAGAATTTGAAGTAGGAGCAGACTCTCAAGGTAAGGAAAAGAAATAAGTAATTTCATTGCCTGCCCTGAAAGTCTGTGTGTCCATTATTATTTTCCTTACATAATGCATTTGACATCACCTAATCCAGTCAACTACGTACCCTGGACTCTGCATCATCCTCTTCTTCATCAGGATTATAAGCTTCTGCACAAACTGCAAATAAAAAGGGGACATTTTAAACATTTGTTCATCAAATACATGTAGTAAATAGCTTTACAATTTAATGATCAGTGAACTTCAGACACAGGACCCAGAAGCCCTGAGCTGGTACTGATTTGAAAGCCTCCTCCCTGAGGACTAGAGTCCATGGTACCAGAAGATGCCAGGCAAGCTTCCAGAGAAGAGAAGCAACCAACAGTCAACCTACGCAGATATGACAACCCACGAATCATAGCCACCACCAGCATGGCAGGATAACCCCAAGGGTGCAGGGGTGACAGGCATACCTTGGCAGTAACCAACAGCTGTCTAGTTGGACTTACGACCTGTCAACAGGAAGGAAACCATACCCGGTTCTGGAAACCTAGTCAAAAAACTAATGTAGTCATGGATCTTGCGAAAGAATCTACAGCTACCATTTTACTAAGCCAGCAGAATTCCTAACTATATTCTAAATATTTGCTCTTATACCCACCAGACAAGCGTAGTATTCACTCTTCATCAAGGAAAATTCTCTTTGCAACAGACAGAGATAATTACAGATAACCACAACCAATCAAAACGCAGAGTTGTGGAGCCCAGTCACAATGGATATGTCTACAAAAGACTCCCACAACCAAGGCTCAGGGAACGTTATGGAGAGATGGTAAAAGCCAGAGGATCAGGGAGCTTGCTGTGAGATTGTGTCTCCTTGCGATGTCAGAAGCGACACCAACATGACCACCTAAGCATGAGGTGAACAGGCATGACACCTACAGACGCACTAACGGGGACGGGGAAGCCCAGGGTTCTCAACTCTACACAAAGAACTACAGGCCACTAAAGAATGCGGAAAGGGAGAGAAAGTGCTAACTGGTTATCCACGTTCAAGTGGTCAAAACATATGTACAAATACCATTATACAAACTGAGCAGGTCGTATATTTAGGAATATATGTGTGCACATGCACACATGCATGTTAATAACGGTTAATAAAAAAAAGAGGCTATGAATTTGAAAGAGAGCAAAGAGGAGAATGTGGAACATCTGGAGAGAGGAAAAGGGAGGGGTAAATGGTATAACTATATTATAATCTCAACAAAAAATAATTTTTTAAACTAGTGATCATAAAGAGTACCACGATGGTTAAAACGTCCATTAATTATGAGCAAGAAATTCAGCCCTAAAATTGATTACATTTAATTTATAAGGAATTTTATAATATAAAGCCATATTTACAGCACTGGTGATTGCTTTCTGCTTATTCCTATTCAAAACTTAACCCTTTACCTCCATTTCCAAGGCAAAGGAATGTTTATGACCTAAGATTACCAAAGAGAACATGAACAGTAAAAACATCTAAGCTTGCCATGAAATGATCAATTTAATCATATAGTTACGAGAAACTTTCATGAATTATTCATAAGCCGCTTTCTCAGGAACAAATGTTGCTAATACTGGGGATATTTCCTCCTGGTATTTGTCAGAGTTGGATTTATACTGCACATGCAGCCTGAAAACCTGCTTTCTTTCCCCTTAACACTGAAGAGTGTTTGTGTCACCAGAAACAGTAAATATTGTTAAGGACTACAAATTATGTTGCCTTGCTATAATTAGCTCCATTCCTAATACTGAGCATTTAACTGGCTTCTATTACAATATTTTTACAATATTGTACTTCTTCACCATAAATACATGTAGACATTTTAGATTATTCCAAATGTTTTTCTGGGAGCCAAAAGGCATGACAAATCTTAAGGCATATTTATTACAAAAGCCTGCACCCATTTATTGTTCTACAAAGAACATAAAAAGACTCTCTGGCTACATAAAAGAGCTGGGTGCCCATACTTAAAATCTTTGCCAATTTAAAATAAAGGATTTAAATATTTAAACTATTAAATGTGAACAACTCCCAAATACTGACTATGTATATCTTCTTTGTTGTCATTTATGGGAATATGCTATTTCCTTTTTGACTAAAGTTAGTTTCTTTCTTTCTTTCTTTCTTTCTTTCTTTCTTTCTTTTTTAGGACAAGGCCTCCCTACGTAGCCCTGGCTGTCCTAGAACCCACTATGTGGACCAGGATGACCTCAAACACAGGGATACACCTGCCTCTGCCCCCTACATGCTGGTATTAAAGGTGTGAGTCACCACACCTGGACACAGTCAATTCTCAAAACATCGCTTCACTCTTAGACTGCTATAATAATTTAAATCAACTTGCTAATGTTTGTTACAAAATTTCACAGATTATGTATGTTTGTTTATGCTTACCATAGTAATGTTTGTTGAGGAAGGAGCTGCCCTGATGTTTAACTTTAATGACTTAACCCCAATACTAAACATCACAAGAATCCCCACTTTATGAGCTTGACACCATCTTCTCATTTGCAAATCTTAAGATTTATTACTTTTCTTTCATTTTTATAAAAGTACGGTTTTTAAAAATTTTGACTTGAGTCTATATAGGAAGTTTATCTTGGCTAAGATACAGGAACTGAAATAACAAAACAACAACAATAATAATAATAGCAATAAATAAGGATCACAAATGCCTTCCCAGGGGTTTCAGAATGGCCTCAAGAATAATTAGTACCTTTGTTATCATTATTATAAAATCCAACGTAATTTTCCATTCTGCAGGCCCTGCTCTATGCAGCCACAGCAGTAGATCCTCCAACTGTGAGTGGCTAGGGGAGCCCACAAACATAGTGGGCTTGGGTCAGGGATGCTGTTAAAGAGCCTACAGTACACAGTGATCCCCCTGCAATTAACCATCTCCAAACACAGCATTATCTGGTTTCAAATGCTAACAGTACTGAGGCTCAGAACCCCTGTCCTAGAGGATACTTTCTTATACAATCTCACAATCCTACAGCAGACAACGACTTCACAGATGGAAGACCAGCGTGTGGAAAAATCAGGGTCACACATCCTAGTAAATGGCATGGCCGGTATTTGATCCTAGGACTATCTATCTTGACTCTGGAATCCTTGCTGTCAACCACTGTTGTATACCTAACGAGCAGGGCAGATCTGCCAATACAATGCCTAGATTTCATTTTGTATCTCGGAAATCCCAGCAGAAACCGTTTCTTGGGAGCAAGCTCGTATTTAAAGACCTCTGATGATATGTAAAACCAGAATGTCAATTTGGTAAGTAACTTCCTGGATGAAGTATGAAGTCAGCATGACCAGTCAGTCCTCTCTCTGCAGAAAATTAAGATGTTGTTTGGTGATGAGGAAATGGGAAGTTAAGAATTTGTCAAATAAAAGTCTAATGATATTAGGCTGGATAACTAACACACATGCACACACACACACACACACACACACACACACAATGGATCATCTGGCTAAGGCAGCTTCCACACTTTATTTGCATTGGCTACAACTTTCCACTGGGCATGAAAACCTCCTCTAGGTGAGGCTCTGTAACTTTCCTTCTCGTGAATGACAGCCAGCTAGGGAATAGGATAGCTATATCATTTGCATAGCTTAAAAAGGAAAGCACGGGCCACTGTTCAAACTTTTTGACTTTCCAGAGGGAGACAAGGGGGAAATTAATCCTTGTGAGCATGAGGACTACGAAGGTATGACAAGCTCACATGCTCAACATATTCAACAGGAAACGAAACAGCTAACAATGACTTGTGACCTATGTTCCTGAACTCATTGGTGCTATCTGAAGTGTCAGTTCATAAGAGGCACCCTGATCCTCTGTTTTCTAACCTGCTGGTGGTCACTATCCCCTAAATAAAAAAACCAAATAAATAAAGATCTGTTATTTTCCAAGCAGCTTACCAACTGCCTCAATGTCACTTATTAGTAACCTTCTAACCTGAGTATCTACTCTGTCATACAAGGTGTGTTTGTGTTGGCCTACTGGCTTCTTCAAAGTATTCATTTTGCCAGTATTGTGAAGACTGATTCTTGGCACTGCTGTGGTGGTTTCAGAGGACTAGAATTTACCTCTTAGACCCAAAGGACACTTGTAGCTGTGAAAAGTTGCTGCAGTGAGCCTTACGGAGCTATCCTGTTTCCTTTAATTAGAACCCAGCTTGTTTATCTCCCTTCTCCCCAGCACCAACTTAAAAGCCAGATCAAGAGTCATGGGTTGGGGATAAGGAGCGTGGTACAGTGTTTACACTGTACCCATGAAGTCCTGAGTTTACTCTTGACCAAAACCACCCCTCACACACACAAATGGGGGGATCTTGACCTTTCACCCACACAGAGCTAATTCAGGTGTGTTCATCTCCGTGAGAACCCTTTGTGCTCCTCCAAGAGTGTGGGAGGAATCACTGTCATCACTTAACAAGCTATGTTCTTCCAGACGTGGTACACTCTGCCTGTCTGTCCCCCCATGGGGACTGGCTAGGTATTCTCATTCCGTAGCGGGGTCAGGAGCACCCTGCCTGGCTTGATGTACGTGAGAGAGGCTGACAGGTGAACACTCTTCCCTGGGTTTTAGAATGGAGCTCCCAGTAGCATACCAACGCTACAGACTCTCAGACACATTCCGAATACAGGAGTGAAAAGCTGATTCAGGTTATTTGCTCAAGAGTCAGAGGCACAGAGAATGAGTGACAATGAGGTCTTCTGTTTTATTCACTAAAGGGCAGAGGTGAAAGAACTCGGTAAATATTTGTGTAAAACAGATGAATGTCAGACTCTGTCCGGATGTCTTGTCAAGACAGTCTTCATGTAACTGTGCTGCCTCTTATTCAACCAGGAATACAGCTGCCCTTTGTGGTCTAGACAATCTGAAACTCATCCTCGAACTGCATTTCTTAGCTCCTTGGAAACTACACAGTAGAGAGAGACAGCCTTAAGATATATTTAAGTCCCGCTGTTCTGCCGCAATATGTGTATTTGGACAGTACGCTGGCTGTTGAGAATAGTCTAGGAATTTAAGCCGATTCCCACACTGCAGAGTGTGTGCGCTGGTGACGCCAGACAACTATCACAGACTGCAGAGCAGACCCAAGAGAAGATCTGCATCGACTTC